TAATTTTCAAGCAAAGTTTTTAAGTATTTTTACTTAAAAACTTTGCTTGAAAATTATTTGGAAAATAATGTAACTAAACCTTTTATCCTGCCAACAATGCAAGGCACTTCATCTGTGCAAACATTATCTAATTTTGTTCACTTAAAAATGTAATTGAAGTTAACAAAGTAAAGTTCTTTAAAAATGTTTTCACCTGTATTGAAAATTAGTTGGTGCAAATCAAGAAGTTCTTCCACAATATCAAAATGTGAGGCTGGGTCAACACACCCCTCCAGATGGGAACCAGCCGTTGAGCTAAAGTCAATAAATCAGTTACTTATTACGTAAATAGGACCAGTGTAACCAAGGAACGGGGTGCAAGACAATTTAATTGTCGCATTCCAGAACTAATTGACAGATCTGCGATCCTCAATCGTGAGTACAAGAGAGGGATCATCCGCCGGGGTAACTTTGGACAGAGTTCAAAGCGGGACTTGCTGACACTCCGGTGGAGGGGGTAGTGGCTGAGACAGCTGCGTCTTCTCCGGGACAAAAAAACACACATTAGGTAAAATTTACAAACCCATCATCTGGGGAAAGGCTTCACCCAACTCCAGAGGGGAATGGCCCGGACAGGGATGTTCGGCAACCCCGCGGCCTGACTTGTGTTCCTGGCAACAGACCAGGGACCAATACAGTTACAGCGAACCATCATTTGGACCAACCAAAACCACAGGATTTCGGGAAGAAAATGATTATAAACGCCTGAAATCCCAAAAAAACAGAGAGGTTGTCAACTGGAGATCGAGAATGACCATTCGAGAAAACAGATCCGGATTAACCCAGAGGACCCAGAAATCTCACAAGAAGCAAACAGAAGGGACTAGAGACTCGACTTCCCAGTGCCAATTTTTCCATCCCTCCAACCGCTAAGCCTCTACCTATAACCCTTTGGAAGCAAACTCTCTCCTTCCTTTTATTTGTGCCGACCTATATCATCAGAAAACGGACTATCCAGCAAGCACATCTTCAGTGATGGACGCCTTTCGATCAGACATTTGTGTAATTCATTGTAAGTATGATTTTCCATACAAATAAATGCGTAAATTTTGTAACAATATATTATGTTTATTATTTATGTTAATGAAGCTGTTCTTTTAAAACTTCTTTTTTGGAGAGTCATGATCACCGTGTGAGTCATCTTTGTGTCCAGCAAACCACTACCCCCATACAAAAAAGGCTTTCTCACATCATCCTGACAGATTGTGGGTAATGCAAGAGTCGTAACCTTTAACCAAAAGGTCAACCCATAGTGATGTCGTCAGGGTTCCTACCTCACAAAAATTATCGTTTGTGTAACGCACAAATATGCTTAACTGAGCATTGTCTGTGATGTCACAGCTTTCATCCAAAGTTAATGAAAAGTATTTGCAATATTGTAGTCTAGAGACAATTTGTGTTCCAACATCCTGGTCCATGTCATCCGTATGACACATGACAGTATTTTTAAACAAAGCTATTTTATCAACCATATTTTTGACATTTATATCACTGACATTTTGGGCAAATATTAAAAGGCTATTTTTTATCATCTCCACTCTGTCAGAATAGAGTTTTTTTCTTGCAGGCTAACAACACAAAGTTCATAAATAGCCTTCACTGTAGTTTCTATTTCATCATTTCTTTTCTGCAACAAGGATTGTTGCCGGCTAAAGATTTCTTTTTTTATTGATAAATTCCGTACACAAGTGTGATCCGAAAGAATATTTGATGTTGAAATCACTACGCAGTTGTTTGAAATGTCAGACCACATTAAATTTTTTCAGCACTGCTACACAAATTCCACATATCAAACAAACAGGCTTGGAAGTATTTTGATGTGTAAACAAAAATTGTTCTTCTTACCAGACAGTTTTAAAATCACAAATTGCAATATCCTCTTCATATTTTCTTTTCGATGTTGAAGGTTTACTCATGGACATAGTGAAAATAAAATTTTTAAAACAACAACACGCAATGCAAAAATCTAAAAACAGTTTAAAACCGCTTAATGTCTTGCTTGGCAGTTTAAAATCAACTAGTGTTGCCACCCATCCGGTTTTCACCGAGACAGTCCGGTTTTTAATTCATTATCTGGGTTAACTATTAATTTTGCTTGGGATTGCGAATAAATTGTGAAATTATGATGAAACAAAGTACTAGCAAATATTTTTATCAGTTTACTTTGTTTTAACTGTGAAAGACTTCACACTATCACTAAAACTTAATTTGCCATCTTATGCCGACATATGTCACAACCTGCTGACCTCTTATTTTTTTATTTTCTTGTTTCTCAGTTATTTAAAGCTAAGTTAATTCATTTCTTAATTTAAGTTGCTCCTACACAAGTCTACAAGTACTACTGGTTTAGAACTGGCATGCACATTATTCTTCACATGATAAAATAACATTACACATGCGTCAGGACTTCTGTTCAAACAAACCTGACCTGCCATCCAGGTCAGCAATTTTGAAACAGTGGCAACACTAAAATGAACTGAACCAGACAGCCAGAATGTCACACTCCCTTTTGCTTGAGAACAAACAACCATAGCAAGACACAACAACGCCAAAGCAAGGCAACTCAAACCATTGGGCTCGTCCCATGACCACCGCTGTCTTACTGCACCATTGTACTGGTGTCAAACAGTGCCTCTTTCCAGCGCTGTTGTATTCAGTAGCATATGAGTAGGGTTTTTATGGATTTTGACAAAGTTTCTGAAGACAACATTATTATTTTCTCAAATTTTAAAATTTTTCAATAAGTCTTTGCGTTTCACCGTTAAAAATTCACCATTCCACAGGTTGGCCATCCATGACTTAAACCAAGGAAAAGAACAGGAGAGCTGAAAACCAAAATACTGTAAAGCAGTATAACCAAAAAAAAATCCGAAAAACACAAAAATGGACTGGCCTAGAATGATGAAACTAACAGGAGAAACAAAGCACCTAATAAGAAAACAAATTACAAAGGGAAAACTAATTACAAAAAACAGAAACCACGAAAATGCCAAAATACTAACTAACACCGAAAAAGCTATGAAAATGGCTAGGCAGTTGAAACTGGCCTAGTAAAGCCTAACTATGAACTTACAAGCAAAAAGGCTGAAGAAAAACTCAGAAAAACCAAAAATACTGCAATGCAGTAAAACCAGAAAAACCTGAAAAACTAGTTAACTGAGAAAAACCAAAATAATAGGGGAAGCTTAACACCTAAAGACCTAATTAACTACAAAAAGAGAACTATCTAACTTAGTTAGTCTTGTCTTACAAGGGGACCCTACGGTCTTGGAAATTCAGTTTGGAATGAGACTTCACAGGTTACTAGTTTACCTCAAGGGTGTCCACCCAGAAGAATTGTAAAGCACACTAGCCAGAAGATTCGAAGAAAGGGGGCTCTAAAGTTTTAAGCGCAGCTCATACACTGGTCAATTTTACACTATGGCAGCACAGCAATATGGCTGAGTCTGTAACGAATTCGCTTGCCACCCGGGTGATCTAGGTTCGATCCTACCTTGGGTAAACTTCTTATTTTATTTTTTTAACTGTTTTATAAATTATAACAACTTTTAAATAAAGTTAATGATGCTTTCACATAACTTTCCATCTTATCATCTTAAGTTCATCGGCTGAAGATAACAAGGAATTGAAAAATTGAGAGTTGTTGCCTGTTCCTCATGGATTAAGGTCGCCAACACATTCTTTGTGCCTGAGCAAAAATCTTCTTTGATATGATATCACCATCAACCAATGGTGCCAGTGAAGACAAACTCTTCCTGTCAATTCCTCAAATTTACAATGAATATTTTTGACCTCTCCACAGCTTATAATATCTTAAAATTTCTAATAACTTTTTAATGACAACAGTAATTAAAGTTTTAATTTACCTCCATTAAAAATGCATTTAAAATTATTCAACTTTTTATAAATAAAATATTATCTTTAATTCACATTTTAATTAGCTGTAATAATCATTTCATAAATAAAATAAAATTATTTATAATTTAATTGATAATATTTTTAGGTCATTAATATTATTTAAAAGTTATGATTTTTAAAAACAATTTAAAAGAAAAGTTAGCCAAAGGTACAATCAAACCTAGATCGCCTGTGTGGCAAGCGAGTTCACTACAGACTCAGCCATTTCGCTGTGCTGCCATAGAGTAAAATCAACCAGTATGAGCTGCGCTTAAAATTTTAGAGCCGTTTTTTTCGAAATCTTCTGGCTAGTGCACTTTACAATTCTTCTAGGTGGGCACTCTTGAAGTATACTACTAACCTGCAAAGTCTCATTCCTAACTGAATTTCCTAGACCATAAGGTCCCCTTATCAGTTTAGGTCTAACTGAAAAACACCCTAGAAACTGAAAATTTACAAAAGTCAGACAAAAACAAGGTGATCAAATGGAAGTTGAAAAGGGAGTAAATTTAAATAGATTAAATAAAAACAAACCTAACTGTTTCTGTCTGGTGAAACCAAAACAGAAACTGAGCTAGCTAAGCCTAATAAATGAGAAAAACATGAAAATAAAAAATCTAGTCTATTGAGAACAAAAAACTGACTCAAAATCTAAGCAGTAACACAAATACTAACTAAAATGACAAAAAACAGCAGGAAAAGACACTCATTAAAGCCCAAGAAACACAGAAGTACATGTCAGAAAAAAGCTCACCAACACAGGCAAGAAGCAGCAGAGGAATTTTGAGCTTCTAATACTGCAATTATTTTTAAAATTTTGTTGCAAGTCAATGATTTCAATATTTTTGTGAACCGTTGATGTTCTTAATCCACCCTATTACATAATGTCACCCCCTTTCAAATTATTGTTCAAACACAGATAACATGCAAGTTATCCACACAAAATTATGATATCAAACATTCCAGAGATTTCTACTAAAAACATAATATTTTTTGTGGAAATCAAAAATATTACATTTTTTGTGGATAATACATTTCCACTAAAACTAAAAAGTAATACTTACAATTACTGGAGGTTTTATGTCAAAGGTATCTCTATTATTAATAACTGCTTCCTGAATAAGTTTTTGAATTTCAGAATATTTTGATGAATCAGCATTCTGAAATAAACAAAAAAAACTTTATTAAATTATATGAAAAATATTATAATCATAAATCATAATTAGCAAGCAAATAACTGAATTAGTAGTGAGACTAGTAAAGATAAAAGTATTCCAGAATATAGTTGTGAGCTTCTTGCCTCTAATAAATTAACTTATTAAAAAATTATCTCAACTAATTGATAGAAATACAAGGCTTATCAAACTATTGGGGCCAAGAAAATCAAAATCACAAAAAAAAACTAATTTTATTTGTGATATCATGCTTGAACATGCATCAACATGATTTGTTGACAATATTCTAGCAAAATGGAAAAAGTCACATCTACATGAATGCCATACAAAAAAATTTCTGAAAGTGGATAAGTAACTAAACAAAATAAGCACAACTTGTATAACTTCATCAATAAATTTTAATGGATATTTTAACCTCGTCATTTAGTTCTTCATCAATTAGAATACCACAAAACTTTAGATGAAAAAAAAAAAAAAATACAAACACAGGTATCTTCCAATTTAATTACTGGTGCTGATAACCCTTTAAAAAACCGTTATGTCCGGTAACAAAAAACATTTAATAAACCATCTAATGAACGAGGTCAGATGAGGGATAACAGGTTCTGGAGAGACTTGGTATACATCAGTTCCACCAAATGTTCCATTCAACAAAGGGTGTGTAAGTACAAGTACGATATTAGACAACAAAAGGCTAACCACTGCCCTATCCACTTACACCACCACCCGGAGGTGCACGCTGACCTTCCTAGCACCAGGCTAATAAAACGGCCTTTCATATTGACCACATTAGGACCCCAGAGGCCCTACAAATACTGTATACAAGGCTGGCATGACAAGCAGGTGCATCGATTTTAAAGATGGTAATTCATCATCATATATCTGGTGTTACTTGTGTGAAGAACAAGGTTCCGATAACACATCTCTGGCAGCAGAGATGAGATAGCTACAATGGCCTTGCCAGGAACTTTTTTCCATCTATTCATAACCACCTTTTTCACCATTGGGTTAGTCCGGACTTTGAAACCACCCAATTCTTCACTGGGCATTGGAGATTTGGGGCCTACTTACAGAGGTTTGGCAAATCTGCAACGGACATCTGTACCATCTGTAATTGCCATGATGGGGTTGAGCACTATATATACCTGTGTCCAATGACCAAGGATGCTAGGCATGAGCTTGCCCTTGCTCTTAGCCACAGGGGTATTAATTGGCCTTGTGAACTTCACGTTCTTCTTAAGGATAGTGACACCTACAAAGCATTCAAAAAATTGATTCATAAGTATAACACACACTGTCATTCATTAAGTTGGTCAAGTCAGTCATCGGGCACTATCTTCATTTGTTCCCTGTACATTATTGTACACATCATTATTCATTCTGCTGCAACATATATCTGTGTAATGTTTATTATTACTATTAGTATTATCTATTTTATACTACTGTATATGTTATTCTACTCTCAAGCTATGAATCATATTGGTTGATTTGTATCGGTCATCTCATCATCTGTTCATACTTCTTCTCTATTGTCATACTGTTTGTATGTTATCTCTCTGTTATTATGAATATATTTACCTGTGCTTTGATATATCTCTGTATTTAACACGATTATGCTCTGGCAGTATCGGGAGTAAATAAAGATAACGCACATTAAATAGTATACTATTTATTTTTATACCGTATCCACAAAAAATAGGCACACATGAATTGCCTTATGAATATATTTATAGTTTACATACATTTGCAACTGTTAAGTTTTGGTTGGTTTTTTTCTGTACCAAAAGTTTTCAAATTTAACCTAGCATTTATTGGATGATTTATTATACGTTTTTTGTTACAGGATATAAAGGTTTTTCTTCAAGGGTTAACACAAACACATTTTAAATAAAATATAATATGGGTAAAATTTAAACTCAATGGAAATAAAAATGAACATAAACAACATAATAAATAATGTAATGATTAAACATAAAATAAAATAAAAGTATATTTTTAAAAAATTGTAGGACCAAACAAAAATTAAGTTTGTACAATGATTTCCATGTTAGCACAAACTCTGCAAGCCTGGAATATATTATCATAAAAATAGCAACCAACTGAACCTTAAAAGAAATTACAGGATATTCTATTGTAAACTCTAACATTTTTTATCTTCACAAGAGATCTTTCTCAGGATAAGGCATTCTCCAAATTGGAATGCAAAAACAGAACGTTTTTAAGAACTACTTGAGAAACTGTATAAACAAGAATTTAAGAATTTTCTCGAAAATTTTTCTTTAAAATAATTTAAATTGAATAAAAAATCAGTGAAGTTAAAAAGCGAAGTTGTATTTTTTTTATTAATATCATATTTGTGTTTGGCCAGCCTTACTTTCAGTGATCATGTGGTGGCATCAATGTACTCAAGATCACATTTGAATCTATTGTCTCTCAGCATAATCTTATAAACACCTGGAACCCTCTGCATGTCGGTGTTGTACTTTCTGTTTCTGAGAATGTTACTGATAGTGGAAACACGCCTATATGCTAATTTATCACCTCTGTGACGGGCAATTTTTTTATACAAGGTTTTCGTGTTGTGATTATAATCTAGAATTATGCGCTGTGTGTTGTGAGCATTTCCACTCCGTGATATATCATTATTGGGCATAGAAGAAGTATCTCCATTGGAATAGGTGTTTGCTAATTTACAAATAAGGTGTTTTTTGTAATCATGTTTTTTAGCTATGTCCTCCAGACATTTAAGCTCTTTTAGCATGTCTTTGTAATTCATGCAGTGGGTAAAAGCATGTTTGGTTAAGGCACAAAATGCAGCTATTTTGTAGATATATGAATCGTATGAGCCAAATTCAATTTCTTGGTGAAATGCAAAAATTACAAGGTATTTCTGATGTCTATATACTGTATTCACCTCCTGGTAGGATGTGAATCCTTATTTCCTAACTTAATACATCTTTGCTTTCGAAAAGCTATATGTTCGACAAGGAAAGTTATACATTGTAAACTGGCAAACTTAATTAAATTTGAAAATGTTCTTTTTGACAAATCCAAATTTACTTGTGTAAGAGAATAAACGAGTCATTTACCTACAAGAAAGATTAGAAAGAAATCTCACACACAAATACCGCAAGAAATTAGACAGGATCCTCAAGAAACAACAATGAAATATTGGTGTAAAACTTCACCCACAATTGATTTACTGAGACGACATACTCGACCCCATCCTTCCTCCTCGATGCCATCAAGTATGGACCCATGTTTCCACCCAAACCAAGGTATTGCTGCCATGCAGACATTGTGCCAAACATTGAGAAGCTCATTGTCGGCATGGATGAATGCCAAAAGGAACTTTATCCTAAAAGTCACTTTCCATCAATAAAATCCTGTAAGGAGATGTGCCAGGAAAAAATCCCATGGAAACTTCTGCAGGAAAGCAAAAAATAAATATCAATTTGAAAATTGAATTTATGCCAATCTTTGTCTGCCTCCAAATGCTACTAAGAAATTTTTTAAAAATTTTTTGTAAAATTAAATTTGTCCAGGCTTATTTTTATAAAATGTATTTATTAATTTTTATGAATGTGCCACCACCAGATAAATATTTTTAACTTTTTGCATTTGGAGACAGACGAGTAGCCTCAAATAAAAGGTTGACTCCACTGGTAGAATTGTTATTTCTTCAAGTGCATTTGAAAGGACTGAATAACAAAGACAAATCCTGTATGTATTATCTACTAACAAATTTTTAAAAAAGTTTTGTAAAAAAAAGTATATATATGTCTTTGGTAATTATATACAGTACATATTACAAAATTTATGATAACAAATGAATAAAATCTGTAGTATACAAAGCATTTTCATATTTTCTAAATATGCTTTTGGTAACTTTATGCAAAGAAAAACTGTTGAGTAACTTCATAATAACAAGTTAAAATTGACAGACAGGTAGCAACATCTGTAACCCACATCCACCTTTCAAATTAACTTTTGTACACAGATAACTAACAAGGTTACATTTCTTACATTAATTTAAATTATGATAATGAATTGCCATTAATATTTATTAAGTATAATATATAAGAACATTAACAGTTTTTATATAATAAAGTCTACAATGATTTACATTTAATGTTATTTATAAACATTTCATTATTTTCTCACCTTTCCTTTCACAATTTTTGGTATGCTTGGTGATGGTAGAGCAGTTAGATATGCACCAGTACCAGTCTGAAATATAAACAGATTACATATTGCACCTTTATTTAAAATAAAATTACAGTAGAGCGTCGTTTACCCGAAAAAAATTCCAGTCAGCAAAATTAAATTTTTGCTAGTGCTGTGGGACTGCAATCTTTGGCTATATCTTGGGCTACTCCAATATTTTTTGTTTGTGTGTGTGTTTTAGCTGGCAGCATTGTCACTTTTGTGTGGTGTTTTTCTGAGGATTGTGTGTCATGCTGAATTGAACATTTTTGATACTAGATAACTTCTAAAGTATACATTTTTTTTGTTTTTTATATTTTTCAATATATTTATTTTGTTTGTAAAAAATAAAGAAATAATTTTTAATGATACAATAGCCATGATTATTATTTTAAAAAGTTTACATTAGGCTTAACATCGACGAAAATTCAATGCGAAGCGACACACAACGAAGAAAAATTTCAACACAGAATAGGTTAATGTATTTTTTTGTACATAATCGGTTATCTGAAAAATAAGTTATCCGAACAACCCCAGTCCCCAATTGATTTGGATAAACAACGCTCTACTGTATAAAAATAATTTGTTTTAAAAAATATACATCAACAACCCGAAGCCCAATGTATTGATACTAAGCAAAATGATCGCCATAATCAGGCTATTATTATGCTATAATTAATTAATAGAAACTAAGTACTTTGGTACTAAAGGTAAATGTTAGGTACCATTCCTTATCTAAATTAATAATTATAATAATTGCGAGACTTGAACCCCAACTTTCACTTATCATGCAGTGTGTGTGCGAGTACCATAAGTAACCATAAATGGCTATATCTAAATTTAAATATGTCCGGAAGCAAAGACTTGTTTGGGATTTGAGTAGCGTAACTGGCAAGTGCACCACACGATAAACAGAAGTTGCAGTTTCAAGTCCTGTTCCAGGCTAGTTTTCTTCTTCCAGAATGTTTTAAATTATTATAGTTCTCACTTCTGTAACCTGTTACCGGTGTGTTACGTGTAAAAAATGTCTGATCCGGACATTGAGGCAGAGTTTGACAAGGCTGAAATCGTCACCACCACGCCCCACCAAGACCATCTTAAATGGCTAAAAGCCGTAGCCATTTACAAAGCCAAGAGACCACCTGCATCAACCGGAAGGAAGAGCTTAGTCTGTCACTAGCCTGGCAGGCCCTCATAGATGCTGACCCATAATTATATCCATCAGTGCAAGATCACACATGCTCGTCAAGACAGATTTCATCAAAATGACATTCAAATTCGTTTTAAATCTTTACATTCCATTCTGAAGCATTCCAAACCTATTTGACCTGAAGAAGAACTTTGCAATAGTTCAAAAATGTTCATCACCCACTGTATATTTTACACTTAATGCACCAGTAACAGATTACAGAAGTGAGGATTTTTACTCCAGTGTTGAGGTAAAGATGAACTCTGTATTTAATTATTGTAGTTATCAATTTAAATAATCAAAAAATCTTACTGGAACTAAATCAAATAATATAAGTAAACAACGCCTTTTAACAGTCCAGCAAAAACATTTAATTCTCTAATAATGTTTTCGACCGATTTTAGCGGCCTTCATCAGTTATTCCAATATAAAAAAAAAAATTTTTTTTATATTAAAATAACTTAAACATCTTAATTATTTACTTAATTATTTATTGGAATAACTTAAATATCTTAATTATTGCAACTTATTCCAGTTATTCCAATATAAAAAAAATTTTTTTTATTGGAATAACTGGAATAAGTTGCAATAAAAGAAAAGAAAGAAATGAAGAAATGTCAAAAAGGCAAAAGGGGCTATGGCAATAGCAAAGGTGATAAATGAGGTCTATGAAGAACTGGAAAGAAAAGATGAAGATAGGTAACTAATAAGAATTGTAAAAGCAAGAAATAAAGCATTAAAGAATTTCACATCAATAAAACAGATAACCCATCAACCACTGCCATAAATTGTCAGACTATAATTTGGAATAAATAATAAATGAATTTGGCACTAGAGAGAGGCATTATAGCCCAATGATTTACAACAGTGGTTGGTGGGTTGTTGCTTTGCATCGGGTTATTAGGGTTGTTTATTTGTATAAAACAGAGAAAAATGGAAATGGTAAAGTGTTACATAACCAAGAAAAAATAAATTAAAGATGAAAAAATTATTTTAGTAAGCTACTGGATGAGGAAAATGAATGAGTGGCAGCAGATATAAGCAAGGAGGAGGTAAAAAAAAGGCACCTAGAAAATGAATAATGGGAGAGCAATAGGAGCTGATCTGATCCCAGCTAAGGTATGAAGATGTTTGAGCAAAGAGATGTGTTTATATGGTATGGGATCTTATGAAAAAGCTGTGGCAGCAAGAGAGGATACCAGATGAATGAAAGAAAAATATTTTGTTGCCAATTTATAAAGGAAAAGGAGATGTGCAAGAATGTAGGAATTATACAGGAATTAAATTAATGTCACACTCAATGAAGATCTGGGAAAGAATTGCAAAAAGAAGATTAAGGCAAAGAACAACTACAGGTGAGGAACAGTTTAGTTTCATGCTGGAAAGAGGAACAACAAATATGAATTCCATTCAGGCTTGTGAGAGTTTGTCAAGCAATGTATGGTTGGGCATTGTCTTGCTAAAACATCTTGTCAAGTGCAGCCTGCACCAGTGGCCAAACCACAGGATCACACGATTCGTGTGACATATTGGTCCACTGTCAGAGTACTGAAAATAAGCACCAGGGCTGTCTGCTGATCAAACACGATGACTCCCCAAACCACAATGCCACTATGGAGCCATGTTCAGCTAAAAAGGCTGGCACATAGCATTCCCTGGGATATCACATCACCCATCTATGGTTGTCATTCCACCATAGACAGAAGCAAGATACATTCAGGTGGACCAGATGTACCAGTTGACAGTGATAAGTGGCTTCAGATGTCACATACTGTGGCATTCAGGTCCCAACAGGCCATTTGGCAAACTGCCAGACTGAGCACTCTGTCACATGTCAATGCAATCCATTCCCTCTTTGGAGTATTTATAGATGTTCACATTGCTGAATAGTACCCATGTCATGCCAACTCTTTTCTAAATACAATAATACAGAAACCATTTAATTTTAAAAATAATAAACAATGCCTTAGTTTTAAAACCAAAAAACTTTATTTTTAGACAAAGTGGCTAAATATGTTTTTTTATTAACAAAACACAATACAGTGGTACCTCGCTTAACAAACATAATTTCGTCCAGAATCGTACTCATTACGCGAAACACTTGTTAAGCAAAATAATTTTTCCCATATAAATTAATGTAAAATATGATAATTCGTTCCATGCCAAAAAAAGTACTCAAATATTTTATGTATAATGTTTATTCAAAGAAAATTATACAATATACATTGTTAAGGAGCATGAATCATCATCATCTTTTCTTCTAGTGTGGAATACTATAATTAAATATTAAAAATTAATTAATTTCACTAGAGGTAGGCAGTTATGCTGCCATCTCATATTAAATTTAATAATTATAAATAATTAACTTTTAATTTAGACATTTCTAAAATTTAATTTGGAATTGGTCATTAAATTTAATATGAGATGACAACCTAACTGCCTACCTCTAGTCAAATTAATAAGGTCAGATGGCCAAGTGGTCAAGGTGGCAGCCTACTGCTCTGGGAGACCCAGCATCAAAACCAGACAAGTTGAAAAATCGCCAAAAATTTTTCAAGAGTGGTCCATTCAAATATGTCGGGGCCTTGTCCCTCATACCCGACCACCCCATTGTAAGCTTGGCCAAACCCATAATGGGCTTGCAAAAAGAGGCCCTCTTAGTGCTCACAGGGCAGAATGATTTAAAAAAAAAAAAAAACAGTCTAATTAATTAATTTCTAATATTTAATTATAGTCTTTACATAGCCCAAGACTCTTGCATATTGTTTGGCATGTTCATTGAATAACAAGCTATGGTTGTTAATGTTTATATGTAATATGTTTGAACACAAGTTTGGAAAAATGTGTGATCACAAGCGACAATAAGATGCTAGCGGAATGAGTGCTAAACACAGACTGATAGGTATGCACACAATCCAGGACTTCCCCTCTCCTCATCATGCAAAACATTGCTCGTTAAGCGAGTCATTTTTTTACAATTTGTTTTGCTCATTACGCGAAACACTCATTATGCAAGATTCCACTGTATTAGTTAAGTTAAAATTTTATTACCAAGAATAGATTATAATAAGAAAACAAATACATTCTCTTGATATATAAAAATTTATCTATATTTTTAATTAATTAATTAATATGAGTTTACTTACTGCTATTCCAATCAACATTTTTTCACCAACAGAAACTTGTACTTTCAATCCAAATAATCCATTCATGCCTTTAACCTATGATAAATGAACAATACATTTTGAAAAAAATAATAATAATAATAATTCTGAAGGCATACATTTAGCACACTACACATTTCTAATGGCAAAAACTGATCTGCATTTTGAATAATTCAGAGTTTGAACTGTATCCCGAAATAAAATTAAATTCAAAGTATAAGCATATGTCACTTTATATGCTTAACATTTCAAGAACAACTTCTTTTAGAGGTGTACCTTGTTGAACATGCTTTTTATCATAATGTATGGTATTTTAATCACCATCATAAATGTTTTCATACAAAAAACATTAATGATAGTGATTAAAAATAAATAAAAAAGAGGTTTTATTTATTGATTGATTTTTTAATTATTTTTATAACTATTAATCCTATTCTATTCTATAGTTTCCAATAATTTTAACACAGTGGTGCCTCATATAACGTACGCCTCGAATAACGAACATTGCAAACAACGAACTTTCTATTTGGCCGTTACGTGACTCGAGCAACAGACTGGCTGCGAACAACGTACTTTCCGTTTGGCAGTTACGTTAGGTGAACAATGGACTTTCTGCAAACAAATGCGAATGACATTTCCACTCTTTTGCATTTGCCAATGACAATCTGCTATTTTTATAATATATTAATATTATTAGAATATATTATTAGTATATCTGAAGTACAGAGCTCCCGTTGAGATTCGGCTTGCTCCCTTGTTTATTACGTACATCACCTCAGTGCAGGTATTTACATTTATTCAAATGTTGTGCAAATCATGGCTTCTAAAAAACAGAAAGGTGATTTCAATTGAAACAAAGCAAAGAAATCATCAGAAGGAATGAAAGTTGACAGAAACTTCCTTGTCAAATGGGGAGAGATTCAGGAGTCTACCAACACTCATTATCCAAACAAAGTTGAGGCCAACAGGATCAATGATCTCTACAATGACACCCTTGACCGTCATTTCCGACAGGTGTTGAAGAAGAGAGAGAAACAGACCACTTTGGACATGTTTTTCAAAAGCCAGATGTCAAAAGACAAAAGATGGAACAAGAGGAGTTGACTCTGCAAGCCCCAGTAGCCTCTCCTAAATTCGACTCTGATTAAAAAACAATAAAAAAAGACCTGCTGCAATGTGTAAAAAGTCTGTATCTGTATGAATGTGTGAATAAAGTGATCCTCCACCTCCTCCTCACATCATCTGACTACCCGGCATAATTGGTGACTGCTCCATTTTCATTTTTTTTTATGGTACAGTACGGTTATTTTGTGCTGCGGAACGAATTATATGTTTTAATATGTATTTCTATAAGAAAATGCGTTTCATATAACGAACTTTTCACTTAACGGACATTCACCTGGAACGGATTAAGTACATTATACAAGGCACCACTGTATATAGTATTTTATTCTGTAATTTTTATGACTTTTGTCCCTTTAATTAATTAAATATCCCGAGTTATCTCGAGCATAGGCTTTAAGGGCCTCAAAAAAAAAAAAAAAAAAACAAAAAAGGCCTTGACTTATAATTTTTCCAAAAATGTATGATCATAGATAAAAAATAATTTTTTATCTATGATCTCTGCAAATTTCATGAATTATTATTGCAACAAAAATATTTTATGATATTAATTAGGTAATTACTTGCACTATTGTTTTTTTATGGGAGTTTTTTATCAAATTAATTAAATCGTTCCCAACTTGATTTGACCAATTTGACTTCAGTAAAATCTTTAAAAATGCTATTGGATGTCTTTTATGACATCAGCATGTTTTTTTTGTTTTTTGTTAAGTAAAATTTTTCCCATACCTTTTTTGGTCCCCTTGTAATTTAATAGCACAAAAATCAAAAATATTGTGTTATATCTGAACAGATGCAGTAAGTTAGCTTCCCTCCAGCTTTAAACCAATATTCCCAAGGCATACATGAGAACTATCCAGGAAAGCTGACACCAGCTGTTCTCAAGGTCTCCCAGTTTGTAAACAATGTAGACTGCATGTGTGAAATTTCACGCCTTGTTAAATGAAACAACAACAATCCTTGCCGCTATATTTTTCAAATAAAAGCATTTATTTTAAATTATTTTAATTTTTTTTCATATACTTTTTTTGTAAAAACACTTTTTGGAGGGGATTTTATTTTTTTATTTCCCGGAAATTCTTTTGGATGTCAGATTTGCGTTTGAGTGGAAATAATAATTTAATAGAAACAATCAATTTTTTATGGATTTCTGAGTGGCATTCGAAGCAAAACAAATGGGCTTAAAGAGTTAATCACATTTTTACATTTTTGTTGGAATGTTTTACCATTATATTGTATTATTTTTTATATTTCATTGTATTATTTACCTGTTAACACTTGCTCAGTTTTTTCAATTCTTATTCATTGGTAGAAAACATAAAATTTATCATGTGGAACACCAGGTGATTGATTATACAGACACTATAATTTAAACAGAAAATGCATTTCAAGCTATTCACCCCTCATCAGTCCTATACATATCTGATAAATTGTAGCAAATGAAGTAACTATGAATTACAACCATTTATTACATTTCACATAAAAATTTAGTAACAAATTATCTGGAATGATATATCTATATTGGTGAAAACTGGACTATTATAAGGGAGTAAAAATAGTAAAACTAAAAATAAAGTAAATTGACTGTAATACTCTAATAAAATGTGAAAAAAGAGTATAACTGTAATACAGGCTAAATGCTGTTAAAATTGGAAAAAGGTTGTATAAAGGTGAAACTTTTTAATGAAATACTGAAAAACATTTACAAAAATTAATATATAAAAAGGTGTGAAAAATTTTACTGTACATTCATCAACTGTGCTGATAGTTATACAGTACAATAAATTATTATAACCTGTGGGTGGAGGGAGGAGGACAAAAGAGTATCTAACATGGATTCTTCTCATTTTTGTAGTAATGGTTGCAGTTCTAATGATAACTCCTCTATTCAAATTTATTTTGTTTTCATTAATTTCTATAATTTCTAAATATTTAAGAAGTTTTCTTTCGATAATGTTTTTTTCTTTAAAAATTTTTATTGCTATCAAGTAAAATTTCACAACCTTCTTGATTGTGGTATGCATAGATGTGGAATAATTATACCTAACTGCATGTAAATGTTCTCTGATTCTAGTTTTTAATATTCTACCAGTCTCACCTATGTAATAATACTTTAACAACTATATAACCTTTTATCATATTTTATTAGATTATTAAAATCAATTTAATTATTTTTTAAATTTTAATTTATTTTATTTTACTATTTTTATCCCTTTTAATAATCCAGTTTTCACCAATATACATATACCACTGCAGATAATTTATTTTACTAATATTTTGTGTGTGAAATATAATAAATGGTTATAATTCATATTGTAATTCATTGTTACAATTTATCAGATATGTATAGGACTGATGAGGGACAAATACCTTGATATTCATTTTATTTTTAAATAATAAAGTATGTATAATAAAATCACCTGGTGTTTCCATATGATAAGTTCTCTACAGCAATTATTTTGTTTACTACCAATGATCTTAAAAAGTGAACAAGATACAATCAAATACTAAACAAAGCATTAATTCTTATTACTTATGTATAGTGTAATTAAGTGTAATATCAGCAGTGTAATTGTTTTTACCTACAAAAGTTTTTATTGTTATTTTGGGGCAGTAATATCTTGTCCATGAGGACTTTACTGATTGTATTTGAAAATTAATTAATTAAAATATTAATTAAAATTTCTTAAATGCTTATACTTATAAATTTCTGTTTGTATCCTTGTCTACTTGGACCTTGTTTATTAATAGGACTTCTTTATTAGCAAGACTTGTTTATTTTCATTTGAAAATCAAGATATTTTGTTTTTATTTTTTTAATAAGATCTCCTCTATTTGTTAATTGTAAGCTATACCAGTATTACCAGTCCTATTAATAAACAAGAAGGTCCAAGTAAACAAGAATACAAACAGAAATCCATAAAAGTAAGGACATGGAGGTAAAAAAAAATTATATTTAACTATAAATATTTAACTTCTTACCTTTAACTTATTAAGTAATTGTCTATGTAATTCGTATTCAAGAAATGGAAGACTCTGTAATTAAATCTCATTAGTTAATAAAAGTTGGTGCACTACATATTTTTATGAAATAACAATTAATTTTATATAAAATCATCATTTCATACTGAAATCTATATATATAAAATTGCTTGTCCTAACTGACTCATTCACTCACTAATTCATCATCGCCCAGAGCAAACCGCTGAACCTAAAGAGGTGAAATTTGGTAGACAGTTAGGGTACATCATGAAAACACTCACTAAGAAGGAATTTTTCGAAGTTCCCCCGCGGGGGAGAGGAAGAGCATTAAGGCTTAACCGGAAAAACAGCTTCTACTGTACTACTTTAGATGCGATTTTTCATTTACAACTACATTTAATTTTCATTGAGTACTTAGATGTATTAAATTGATAACATTTCAGACATTGTTATAAATATTTTTATATATTTCGATTTTTTAACCAAATGTTCGAACCTTTTTAAATTTGAATTTGTTATTGCGTATTGGTTCGTTTATAGAACGATTGTAAACGTTCCAAAAAATTGATCAAATTGAAAGTAGTTTGTTTGATTCTCAGCAATTCTCATCATTCTCAGTGGTAGGTGTTATATAACAATTACTATGGTTATTGAAATACTGAATATAAATGGGGTTTGCTTGCAAAACCTCCGCAGGCAAAGTCGCAGGTAACAGCTAGTTTATCATATATTTAAAGATTATATTCTAGGTACCTGACCAAACCCATTTCTTCAAAAACACATCTGTGTTGCAATTTAGAAACTTTTTAAACAATATTAGTTATTTATATAAATATACTGTAAATCCATACCTAATTCCCTACACATGATTATATGAGCTACTACTATTTTGAATGCAATTTTTATTAAAAAAATATTTCACTTAATCACCCTGAATGATTAAGTGAGCAATGGGCAATTACATAAAAATTGATAAAAAGCACTCCAAATTGGAAAACAAAGACAGGTTTTATTTTACAGTCTGTACAGTGGGAATACAGGAACAAGAATAAAGAACACACAGCAGTGTTGCCAGTGTTTTAACACTTCTCCTAAATTTTTACATTTCTGTTAAATACAGGACATTCAAAGTTTAAGATACAAAATATTAAGAGACAGATCCAGAGTGCATAGGATTCAATCTCATTTAAATTTACAAACTCCTATACAACTTCCAAAATACTAAAATTTAATCCATGATAGCAGTTTTGTGAGGATATCACCTAACTGTTTGTTGCTGTCTGTGTTTTATTGCTATTTCTGTTCCAATCTTTTCCTTTACAAAATGATATTTAACTTCAATATGTTTGGTTCATTTAGAAGCTTTCTTATCATCTTTAGTAATCATGTGAATTGCACTGTTGTTGTCAATGTACATTATTGTAGGTTCCTTACTTAGCATTTTTAGTTCTAATACAAATTTTCTCATAAACAGAATTTCTCTAATAGCTTCACTGGCAGAAACATACTCTGCTTTGACAGCAGATAATGCAACAGTTCTTTGTTTTCTGGAGTGCCATGATACTGCTCCTCCTGAATACATTAGTAGGTATCCTGATGAAACATCTATCCTCCAAGTTTCCAGCAAAGTCTGCAATGCTATAAAGAGCTAGTTTTTTGTTGCCATTATATAAGATTCCATAACCAGTAGTTCCTCTCAAATATCTCAGAATTCTCTTAGCTTGAGTCCAGTGATGATGTTTTGGATTTTCTACATGTTTACTTAGGTAATTTACAGCAAACATTATAGCCAGTCTACTAATAGTGGACAAATATAGGAGGCTACCTATTGGTTCTCTATATGGTTTACCTTTGGCTTCCTTCGTATCAGTTATGTCATCCTTTGAGTGTTCAATTGGAGTATAGGTAGGATTTGATTCATCCATATTGAATAAACTGAGTAGTTTTTCAATATACCGGGACTGGCAGATAAAAATAGAACCATCAGTGTGTTGTTTTATTTCCATTCCAAGATATCAGTTGGCTTTCCCCATGTTATCTCAAATTCTTTGTTTAATTCATCCATCAATTCTTTCATTCTTTTAAGGTTGTCACCAATCACTAATCCATCCCCAATGTATAGGACAACTATTATTTCAGATTTCATATCCATAAATACACATGGATCTGATAAGATTCTTAGGTTTAAGGAATTCCAAAAATTTTTTATTCCACTTTCTGGGGCTTGTTTCAAGACATATAGACTTTTCTTTAGCAAGTATACCTTGTTTGCTTGATTTGACTTAATAAATCCTTCAGGCTATGTTATGTAGATTTCCTCCTCTAAATCACCGTGCAGGAAGGCAGTTTTCACATCAAATTGAAGTAGCTGTGATTTTTCTTTTGCTGTAAAAGCCAGTAGAAATCAGATTGAATCATATTGCGCTACAGGGGAGTGTGTTTCTGTGTGTTGGTTATTGTACATTTATATCTGGCAACACTTGAAAAGTTGTTAGTCGCTGAGTTTTTCGACCTATCAGTTTTAACTTTGCACATGGAATGTAAAGTTGTAAATAAGTTTTGTTAGTTATTAAAGTTAAGTATTAAAAAGAATAAAAGAAAAGTAAAAGAAAAGTAAAAAAAAAGGTAATGCTTTATTTATTGACTAAACACTATGTAATCAATTCCTTGTTTCTGTAGAAATCCATGCACTACTAAGAACCTTGTATTTCTCAACTGAGCCATCTTTCTTGTACTTAGTGCAAAACACCCATTTGGTTGTTAGAGGTCTTTGACCTTCAGAGAGTTCCACTAAGGTCCAAGTATTATTTTTGTTTAAAGAATTCATTTCCTCTTCCATTACCTTCTTCCACTTTGGTTCAGTTAAAGCTTCTGAGACAGATATCTGTTCACAGTCTGCAATCATTGCATGATAATCATACCTTGATGGCAGTTTAATTTCATTTTTACTTCTTAAGTTATACCAATCCACGAAACCTTTTTTTTACAAGTGTTATGACCATAACAAACTCCACAAACGCTTTCGACCTCCACCGAGGTCTGCTTCAGGTGGTGACTGACTGTGTTTCCTCCTGATTGTCGTAACGATGTCGCCAGAGATGTAAATAATTGTGCGTATCGGGTTTCACCCCTCCGACCGTCCCTGTTCAAATTCCTCGAACAAATACCTCCATGCCTGCGCGATCATTTCACCATCTTTGAAGTTGATGCAGGTGCCCCCACTGTTAGTTTTATGAATCTCCCAGGCCTCCAGGTGATGAATGTGATCAGTTCGAAATGCTTGTCTGATTAGTCTGGTGTTCTGGAAGTCCTCCCATATTTCAGGGTCGGTAACATAGGTTGATAAGGTGGTGGTGTGCCTGTTATTTTTAATATCCGCTTTATGTTCTCATATCCGTTTTTGTGTTGAGCGGATGGTGGAGCCAATGTAAACCAAGTCTCTATGGAATCCATCGTCCCTGATGGGAATGGAGTATACACCTGGGGCCCTGCTGAGATCCATCGTGTCCTTGGCATTGTGCAGCAGGTCGTACACAGTGCTAGTTCTTGTGTACGTGATCTTCATGCGGTTATGGCAAGCAATCTCCCTGTATAGGAGGTCTAAATGTTGGTTGAACCAGATGACTGTGCGCCTAATGTTCCTATTCGGTTGGTGGTTGTCGTCTGGCGAAGGCAGGGGGCTGTCACTGCAGCGTGGGGGACAATGGGCATAGGCACGGGATAAACCGCAAATCATGCCTTTACTGTAACCATGCTCAATGGCAATTTTTTTCTATGTGACAGAGCTCTAACCGAGTGTCACGCTCGTTTGTGTGGTGAGTGAAGGCCCATCTGGTAAGGGCACTGGTTGTCCGGTTCAAAGAAAATAAGGCAGGTGTGTATAAGATTCCCTACAAGAACCAGCTAATAGGTATATAAAAAAAGATTATGTAGGGGTTACTACTAGAAACCTAGGGGTAAGAATCAAAGAACACAGGTATGATATTAGAAAAGGTTCTAATACAACAGTATTGGTCCAGATGGCGCAAGCAGAAGGATCCTTGGTTCAATGGAATGAAGTGGAAATCCTAAAACAGATACTCTCTCCAACTTTAGCAAGAATGGCGGAAAACATAGAAATTTACAGAAGCAAGCTTAAAGAAAAATGCATTAACGCAAGTGACGCGGAGGGTCTTCCTTCGACTTGGAAGTATGCCGTTAAAAACTTACAAGAGGCGCATGAACTCTAGTATGTTATAAAGGAAATTCTGTCTAGATAGGATAGACAGTATTAATATTTGGTACAAGTAATATGTTATTTATTTTTACATTTTTGTATCATTTACAATGTTTTAGTTATTCTTATTACTGGAAATGTTATTGGTTGTTAATATTTTTGAATTTTTGAACTTATTGTTCCATTTAAGAAATACTCTTTTTAGCCTGAGGATGATCTATAGAATAGATCAAAAACGTTTGTTATAATAAAAAAATCTCTCAGCGAATATTAAGGTGGTGGTTAAGTTTTTTATTTATTTAAGTCTGCTGGGTATGAGTATGGTTTATAACAATTTTTTATGTCAGTTTTTTAAAAGGTTTAGATTAAATATTGTAAATTATAATTTTAAAATAGAAATATTAATCCAAACCAACAACTACCTACAATTAACCATTAACCGGTGCGAAATTCTTTAAAATCGGTGAACATTTTCGATTCCCCTCCTGGGATCTTCTTCAGGCTTACTTCTTTATAGCTTTCATTATAACCGGATTCTTTAATTCGAATGTTTTTGAAAAATACGGAACTTGCCATTTTTTGAAAAAATTTCCGAAAACGGAAGGAATCCACGTGTTATTTCAAATGTAATTTTCTACCAATGGGGAATCGTTGTGTGCAGTACGTCATAAAATTTATCTTATAAAATATATTATGATTTATCGTCAATTAAAAATTGCCATGCTGCAGAGAGATTTATTTCTTCTTTGAAATTAATGCATGCGGATTTACGATCGGCTTTAAAGATTTCCACTGCCTCCAAAGTTCTTAGTTGTTCCNTATATTATGATTTATCGTCAATTAAAAATTGCCATGCTGCAGAGAGATTTATTTCTTCTTTGAAATTAATGCATGCGGATTTACGATCGGCTTTAAAGATTTCCACTGCCTCCAAAGTTCTTAGTTGTTCCGGGTGTTGGGTGGTGCGAATAACATGCACTTCATCGAAGAACGGTGTGATGTCCGGGTTTGTCGCATACGTAGATAGTATATATTATTCGCACCACCCAACACCCGGAACAACTAAGAACTTTGAAGGCAGTGAAAATCTTTAAAGCCGATCGTAAATCCGCATGCATTAATTTCAAAGAAGAAATAAATCTCTCTGCAGCATGGCAATTTTTAATTGACGATAAATCATAATATATTTTATAAGATAAATTTTATGACGTACTGCACACAACGATTCCCCATTGGTAGAAAATTACATTTGAAATAACACGTGGATTCCTTCCGTTTTCGGAAATTTTTTCAAAAAATGGCAAGTTCCGTATTTTTCAAAAACATTCGAATTAAAGAATTCGGTTATAACGAAAGCTATAAAAAAGTAAGGCTGAAGAAGATCCCAGGAGGGGAATCGAAAACGTTCGCCGATTTTAAAGAATTTCGCACTGGTTAATAGTTAATTGTAGGTAGTTGTTGGTTTGGAGTATATACAACCCGATGTAGTGAGAAAGCACATTAATTAAGAAATATTAATATATTACGGTTTATGCAGCAGTGGGTAAATGTCAACAGTGAACCATAGTCTAGAAATGTTAATAAATGGGAGGTGTTAGATATGTTGTTGTGAGAATATTGTATTAAGTCCGATGTTTTGTGTAAAAATTTCAATAAGAAATCTAACTGAAGAAAGCATGGTAAAAAGTGTCAAAATATATTTTACATGTCAGAATTAAATTATGAATATTGTAATGAATAGTGTTATAATAAAATAATGGTCTCGAGTCTCTTAGTATGATAACGTGTAAAATAACTGGAATTTTACAGTAAATTAAGAATTAATTTATATGTTAGTGTTAATGTCATTATCAGTTTAGTTAGGGAAGAGTATATAATTACCAATGACTTCTAATTCTTTCAAAATTTTTGTCCGAATATTCACTTTATTTTATTGCAATATTGTCTAAGACTGATTAAATAAAATGGATTTTTTTCCACCAGTTCATTAAGGTTGTTCATTGCAATCTGTCATAACTTTTGAGCAAAAAATATTTTCTATGGCTGTTGATTGACATCTATCTAACCTTTCATATTCATTAAAAAAATGTACTCATTACATTCCACAATTTCCATGTTCATAAATGGGTTGTTGCTAGGCAACAGTCTATGCAAATTCTGGAAAATCACAATAATTGTTACTAACACTATTGTGAAAGGGAATGAATTACCACGTGAAAAGAAGACAAATGAAAATAGCTTAACAATAACTTTATGTACAAGTAAAATAAATATACACAAAAATTGACAAATTTGTTCACCAGGTTGCACAGTTGCACATACAGACACCCACAAACTCTCCAGATTCATCTATACAACGAGATTGCTATAATACAGGTCCTTTCGGTAAAGTCCAGACACGTGGGGCTCACAAAAGAAAACTAATTGTCGGGCAATGTCCACTACCGACAATTACTTTTTACCAATAAAACATTTTTATCACCCAGTAAATATTCCAGCCGATACAAACAGATTCTTTCACTTCCAGATAGTAATACAAGTTCGTGTAGATATCGCTTGCACCACTCCATGCAGTCACTCCAAACACATTAACACACAAAGAAACACAAGACAAATCAAGGACCCTTTCCTTCACCTGGGTGACCTCTCACCCTCCAGAAACAAAAGACCCTCCAGCCAACCCGCAATTCTTTTTATACACATTTCCCTCCACCAAAATGCTGTCAACTCTTTATAAAAAAATTACATATAGCCCAAAACCTGACTATTACCCTGAAATGGCACAAAATCCATTTAGGTACACAAAATCATATAGTGAAACCAGCCTTTATAATAATACAGTACTACTGAACAAAAAAATTGTGTTAGACTAACACAGAGCCTGCACCTGCTCTTAAATTAAGTTAAACCCATGGCATATGCACCAAAAATATAGTAGTTTTTCCCTTTTAATACTCTTAAAGATATCCTCATCATGCACTAAACAGATAAAAGTTAATCTGTTTAATGTGTTTGAGGCATGCTGTTCTTGATTTTCTGTATATATCACACTAACCTTATGAAACTTTGCAAATATTTTTAACGTACCACAAACATTTTCGGTCCACCTTAGGACTTTCTTCAGGTGGAATTCTCCATTTCTGACATCGGAAATGGAATACAGTAGTCTCTCAAAAACTCAGCACTCGATAACCCGGCAGTCCGGATAACTCAACCACACCCTGGCAGGGCAAAAAATAAATCTTTAGTTAATTAATTTTCATTATAGACAGCTTTATGCCTCAAAGTATTTCTCTGAGATCTGTCTTATCAGGTAAATTACTGTACACAGTGTATTCATTAATTTTCATTTTCATGTAGTAAAGGCTCTATGCCTTCATAAAAAACGTACTTTTCCTTTGTTTAAAAGTATTTGGGCAGTTTATTCTCTGTTGTATTCTCAAGTAAACAATATATACAAGTACAGTACAGTATTTTCTGAGGAAACACTCATACTTATTTTTTTTAACCCCATTCCCAATAACCCAGCATTTTCACAAACTTGGCCACCCTTCGGTCCACATTAGGCCAAGTTTTCAAGAGACTAGTGTAGAATGGAATTGTACTGAAAAAGCTCTTCTCTAATAGAATTCCACCTGAAGGTGGTCCTAAGGTGGACCAAAAACGTTTGTGGTATGTTAAAAATATTTGCAAAGCTTTATAAGGTTACACTCTTCTGTAACTGCACTTAAATACAACTCATACCTCAAAACAAAAACCTTTAAAATGTAGCCCTTTTATTTGTTTTTGGCCATTTTGAATGGTCTTTCTCAGGAACATAAAAATCTAAGATTCAATTTTTCTGTTCCTGGTGAAGACCATTCAAAATGACCGAAAACATTTGGAAAAATGAATAAAAAGGCTACATTTTAAAGGTTTTTGTTTTGAGGTACAAGTTCATAAGGTTAGTGTGATATATACATTTCTCAGTGCTTTGTTTATAAGATGGATTTTGTTGATTTTCCGTTGGTGATATAAAAATGTGTGAAATTCGAAGTTCATATAATTTCATAAAAGAAAGTAATCCTTTAAATTTATAATAAATTCCTTTAACTAAAGGAATTTGGACCTACAAAAACGAAATATAAAGTGCATGAGAAATTTATAACTCTTTCTGTTTAACTATAAACATTCTCACGATCAAACCGTGTATAGTTTACACTTACAGGCAAAATTCATCATAATGTTGTCATTCTAACACCAACTTTAACCCCACACCTGCTAAAACAATTGATCACCTGACTAATTTTCCCACCACAAAAAGTATAAAAGCCATCCTTCTTACCCTCTCGGGGAAGTCGCCGATCAAATGAACAACAATGAAGACGACCCATATCTTCCCCTCATACCTACTGTACAACCTTAATTGGAAGACTTTGTGCCACATCATGCACTGCTTTTCGAAACCATTAAGTCAGAAGTATCCGTCCAATATTATCACAGAGGTATGAAATATTAATGTGAACTCTCTCTCTCTCATCCGCGAAGTCAAAGGAGTTTTGTTTAAATTTTATTTAGTTACTTAGTTTAATAAACTCTTGTTTTGTTTTTTAAATGGTGTTGTTACTCGACTTTACCAACATCTTATTGTCGGCCCCTCCGACTCTCCTCCACTCACGTAACGTGTAACTGAACAAAACACCATCCTTGACAAGAAAGTAGGTCACCGACCGATGGCCGGAAAGAGAGGACTTCCCGACCTCCCCGGCAGCTCACAAATGGAATAAATCTAAAGTGAAAAATGTTAATATATTAAATGTTTTGATGTTGTTTGTGTGTGAATTTAAATTAAACTGCAGCTTTCAATTCAGATATTAAAACTTCACCAAAAGCTAACTTAAATTATAAAAAACTTGTATTCTAATAGTTATACAAAAATACTTACATCACTAATTTCTTTAGCATTCTGTTCACCTTTTCCATCCTTTTTCACTCGACACACTCTGAAAATACAACACACACATTAAATATATAATAAATACAATTGTTTATGCTAACAAATCTATTAAATTATTACCATACTAGTTTTTTAGTATAAACCAAGGCTATATACATCAGATGTTGAGGGATTAACCCTCCATTTTGAAAAAATTTAAAAAGTATACTGAACATAATATATACTTATTTTATATTCATTTAGTTCCTTCTTAGTCTACTGTATTGTGTTACTTTATATACCTATATTATAAATATTAATAAACTACATTATTAAAAGAACTGATTTTTTAAAATCCTGTGCACAGACCAGGAACAAACATCCCATCTTCATATCAAGATAGTTGCATTAGCACTTCCAAAAACTAATATTATATATATATATATAATATTAGTTTTTGTTGACAATGCAATGGTGCCTACAATTAGTTTTTGTAGACAATGCAATGGTGCCTACAGCAATGAGAACAGTGGACTACTTGAATGACTCCAGAGTTCAGTTGGTCATTCTTTCACTTTATAGTCCAAATTTTGCACCCTGTGACTTATTTCTGTTTCCCAAAGCCAAGGAGGTCCTCAAGGGATGTCTTTTAGGAGTTCAGAAGAGGCAGTTGCTGTGTGCAAACACATTTTGATGGACATATCAGAAGAAGACTGGTGCCACTGCTTTTAGAGCTGGTTCTCCCTCATGCAATGATGCATTTAGTATCAGGAAAAGTACTTTGAGAAGATATAAAGACAAAGTAACAAGAAACAGGTTCGTTGTATTCGGAAACTCTCAGAATGGCCTTTATATATATATATATAAAGGCCATTCTGAGAGTTTCCGAATACAACGAACCTGTTTCTTGTTACTTTGTCTTTATATCTTCTCAAAGTACTTTTCCTGATACTAAATGCATCATTGCATGAGGGAGAACCAGCTCTAAAAGCAGTGGCACCAGTCTTCTTCTGATATGTCCATCAAAATGTGTTTGCACACAGCAACTGCCTCTTCTGAACTCCTAAAAGACATCCCTTGAGGACCTCCTTGGCTTTGGGAAACAGAAATAAGTCACAGGGTGCAAAATTTGGACTATAAAGTGAAAGAATGACCAACTGAACTCTGGAGTCATTCAAGTAGTCCACTGTTCTCATTGCTGTAGGCACCATTGCATTGTCAGGATGCAGCAAGAATCCATGAAGGCCTGTTTTACGATGCTGCTTGCAGATTTCTTGAAAGACTTGAAAAAGACAAATGGCGACATACCATTTAGCATCAAATATCTTCCCATCCTCAAGAGCTATGGAAACATGACCTTGTCTTTTAAAGAATGTTGTTACCATTTTCCAACCAACACTTCTTGGACGTTTAACAGGTGGTGTTCCATTGGAAATGACACAAACTGCAAACCATCTCTTGCTTTCAGGGTCATACTGGTAGATCCAGGTCTCGTCACCACTGACAATGTCCCACACATTTTGAGCTTTCCCATTGAAATTTTTTCCACACAAGCTTTTTTTGCTGTTCAGTCAGAGAATGAGGCATCCACTGAGACAACAATCTTACCAACACAAAGATGATTGTGCAAGATACCATTCACTGTAGGCAGTCCCACACCCAAGGTGTGTTCAATATCCTTATGAGTTATACTGGGGTGTTCTCTAAGAAATTTCTCAATGTAAACCACATTTTTTTTTGAGTCACTGCAGTTGCAGACTGATTGCTTCTCTCTATCTTTAAACTTGTTTCTGCCAGATCTAAATTCTCCAAACCACCAGAATACTTAACCTTTCAATGGACAAGAATATTGTAAATAGTGGAGACACTGGAACTCTGACAAACCAGATTTAAAGTCATAAAACATCATTTTCAACATCCACATATGATGGTACCTCCAAGGTCAGGCACAAGAAATTTCAAGAATGCAGATATACTGTTGAACTCTTGAAAACAGTGGCATGCTGAGAATGGACTAGGGGAAATAGAATAGTCTCCTAAATTCTTTCAAGTACTATTGCTCAGAAAATGTTTAGCAGTAAAGCATTGTAGACTTTGTCTGTATTCAGTAGTTTTCACATATCTGGAAACTTTCAGAGTGGCCTAGTATAAAAAATATAAACATTAACCTTTATCTTCAATTAATGTATTAAATAATCAAAACACTTGAGCTCTTGAAGTTCATCTTCAGTGTATGAACACCTTTACAAAACAAAAGAACATTGGCAGTGGAACATCATCATTATTATTTCCAACTTTTTTAAAAATATACAACATTCTATAAAGGACAGGTTTCCAATGATTTAAAATGTGGAACATTTCATAAAGAGAAAAAGAAAAACAAACACAATTTCAAAGGCTAACAATCTCCTAATTCAATATCTGTTCTACATAAATTTAATAGTTATGCATAGTTGAAAAGCCATGTAGGACATGCCGAGATAGAAAAGACAAAAAATTAAAATAAAAAAAAAAATAGATAAAGAAACAAACCATAAAAAGAGTATATTCAAGTTCAAACAATGCTTTCCAAGCAGTTGAAAGGAAGTTTCAACTTTTACAATTAATGCACGTTACTTTGTTTTTGATTCAGCATATTTTGAGTTGTTTTAGTGGCTTTAGGTCTTCTATATTTCTTGCAAACAGTGGCATGCTGAGAATGGACTAGGGGAAATAGAATAGTCTCCTAAATTCTTTCAAGTACTATTGCATTATTATTTTTAATGCATTTGTACTTGAAATCTTTCACTTGAAAAGTATGTATGTTTTGTGTATTTTTCCCATCCAGCTTCCCCTCCTCTACACCGAGTTCAACTTTTCCTCGAACCAACCTGAATACCACTCAGGGCTCTTTTAATTGACTCATTGACAGGATTAGCTTGCACATACATGTTCCTGTTAGGTTTTGCACACATCCAGGTGGTCCTATAATAAAAGATTTTGTTTCCTATTCTTATTGATAACAACATTGCATTAGTGATTTTTGTATTTCTATTATTATAAAACAGAAGTTTTCAAATAAAGTGTGACTCTACTTAAAAGAGGGTAGGTGACTACAAAGCTTTGAATTAAACACAAAAGGAGACTCATTAGGAGAAGCAGATCTCTCACAGCAAAGAATAACACTGTTTAAATCTGCGAATGATGCAGCTGACCTAGGTGAATCATCACAGCAGAGTGAAGCCAATCAAATATTTCTGTTCTGTATTCTGGATTGCCTGCTGGAAACATCGTTTGGAGCCTTAAGTTTCCAAAACAAACAATCCAGCAATGAGTTGCTTAACTTTCCTGGCAACATTTAGAATTGTGTAGTGCCATCCATTATCATATTTTATTAAAAACTTTTTATAATTTTAATTATTATAAAATGGCAACAAGCTTACTTTTGAGAGTAAAGATAATTTTATAAAAAAATTATAAATGCTAATAACAAGTAAGATTCACACTGAAGAACCTTAGGAGTCCAATAACAACACCACTTTGATGGATAACTAACATTTTCAACCATACCCCAGTCTTCCTCAGGTTTTTAACCAGTAAGATTCAAATGTGGAATGCAAAAAACAATATTTACAAATTATTTTTGAAAACCTATGGAACACATCCCATACAGGCACAAAGATTGCCTATAAAAGATCCAACATGGTATATGGGCTATTGCAAAATGGCAAAAGACAGGACCAACGAAAGTTGGACACCAGGTGTATACATGATTCTGATCAGAGACAACAGATTTCAAAGTGATTTAGTACTGTACACATCGGGTCCACAAAGCACTTTCTAAGCAAAAGATTACAGAACCACAGGTATGATATCACTAACAAAAGGCATACCACCACCTTAGCCACCTACAACACAGACCTCAACATATGGGCCGACCTTCATAAAGCCAAATTGGTCAGATTGTCACATCGAATTGAACACCTTTGGAACCTTGAGGCATTAGAAATTTACAAAGCCGGCTTTGCATGGCAACTGTATTAACACAAATGATGCTATTAAGGTTTCCTATGCATGGAGGTACTGTTATGAAAAAATGGGAGACACTAGCAGTTAGCAACCTTTTTTAATACCATTATTTATATCTTATTATTCATTGTTTATGGTATAGATTTATTTCTATCGCCATGATAACATATATGGATAAAAGTTGTCTACACGCACTTAGATTGTTTCATAGATTTTAAAATAATTTTTGAACATGTTGTTCCATACATTCCATAGGGTTTTAAAAATAATTTGTAAATATTTCTCTTTGCATTCCATGTTCAAATCTTACTGGTTAAAAACCTGAAGAAGACCGGGGACCGGTCGAAAATGTTAGTTATCCATTAAAGTGTTGTTGTTACTGGACTCCTAAGGTTCTCGAGTGTGAATTATACATTCCAGTAATTCTGTAAGAAGTGGTTTTAACGAGTAAGATCATCATCAAGTCCAACCTACTCAAGATATGACGCAACTTTCCTTCATCTCCCTATCCTGTCAACCTTTAACCTCCAAAATTTAATAGCAACAATCCCAGATACTAGAACCTCATTGCAAAATTTCAGAAATTTTTGAAAAAGGATACAAGAGTTATTAAGGTTCAAAGAGAATGAACAAAATCGTGCCCTCGCACTTAAACTAAAATTCATACATACAAAACAAAACCCCAAATTGTTTGCATTTTTTGACGTTTTAAGGTTTCCTGAATCCAAAAATGTTAAGATCTTTGGGAGGGAGTCATTTTTTGACCGATTGCCGTATTTTCCATTATACATAACAGAGAAAGGAAAGTAAAATTAATGTGCAAATAAACTGAGTTTCTTCTGGATGTTTAAATAATAATTCTTATAATGTACGAAAAATGAGTTTTCTCACATCCGATCCCTTTTGAAAATTGTCACAACACACTGCTGCTTGAAAAATTCATTAAACAGAATTTCAATTTTGAGATCTGAGGCAAATATGACCAAGGGAGTAACATGTGATTCTTTCATTTATATCCATAAAATGTTCATGTATACTAGATCAGATGGTGTGTAAAATGACTCCTATGTATTCAGGCCTTGTTTAACATCTACTGTCAATAAAAAGTATTTCATATACTTTTTATTATATATTATATGTGCCTTACAGATAATTCCATCTATGATTCTCTGACATTCTCTTACTTTCCCTGATCAATTATGACATCATTCCCTAACCTATCAGAGTCTCTACATTTCTCCTTTCCATTGTGTAATATTCAGACAACTCTATTTAAGCCCATTTTGCACACAATTATATAAATTTATTAAAAAACACTTTATTCACTTACAAAAAACAAAAAACTTCACATAAAATCAATTACGTAATTAGCAACATCATTTCTACGTCATATAAAAAAATTTCTTGATTTTATTTAAATTAATTTGTAAATCTTATTTAACTAAAAAAAAGGCTTGCATCACATCATAAAATCAAATTTTTTTAAAGTAAAAAGGCAGGAAATTCAGAACAATTTAAACAATAAATTGATCTGTAAGAAGGAGAAATCACTTATCATGTGCTATTTTTGGTTCAGCACAGACTCATTCGAAATCATTACATTTCTTCCCCATACCTCCCTGAAACTTACAATGAGAGTGGCAGAGTTTTGGTGAAAAAGTGGGTCATTGTCAATAAAGTTTATGAAAACTTTAACTCTGGCAATATTTTGTTATACTGTACTTCATCATTTTGTCAACATCTGAGTCACTATAATCTTGCCAGGGCAAGGTGATGAGATTTTCCTGCCAAATAATACATTTAATTTCTAAGTCAATAGGGGTCAACCCTGACATTACCAAAAGAGCACTAGTTAGTGCAGTCCTATAAGCCTTACAAATGCAGAGAGCTGCAAATCCTTTGAACAGGTAACAGTTTTTTATGGTTATGGACTTTGGTGGCCATGTGGCCCCAGACCTGTATGGCATAGAAGAGTGCTGGCTAAATTGCACCCCTGTAAATAAACTTAGTAGCGTTAGGGCCAAGTCCCCATGTGTTCCTAGCAATACAAATGAGGGCGTTGGCCGTCTTTTTAGCTTTGTCTGTGATGTATTTGATGTAGGATGAGAAGTTAAGTCCCTCATCAAGAGTAACGCCTATATATTTAATTTCCGTTGTTTGCTTTATTCTGCGAGTACCTATTCGAAGGGTAAGCTTCCTGATGAGTGGCACGTTCCTACCTACTTTCTCATTTATCTGTGTTAATGGGTTGCCTATTCTTAATACTCCGCTGGTGAATGTTATTGAGAATGTCGTTGCATATGTCCTGTAAGCATTCGCTGTTCTGTGTGAAGCTAAGAAAATTGTGTCGTCCGCATAGCCCTGTATGCGTCAGCCAGGAGGCAGGGTGTTGTTTAAGTGCAGAACAGAGTTACAGGCTATGTTCCAGAGAACTGGCTCCCTGAGGACAGCCTCGAGTGATGGGTATGACTATGTTAATTTGTGTTGTATAAACAACTGTACTCCTGTTGCTAAGATAGGATTGAATAAGTTTGTAAAGATTTTGAGAGCAATGATGAGCATGTAATGTGTGCAAGATAAAAGGCCACAAAGTGTGATCGAAGGTACCTCTAAAGTCAATAGTGATAATTGCCATATGCTAATTGTTTTGTTTAGCTTGGTAGTGTAGTTAACAATCTGATAGATGGCATCTACTGTACCTTTGTTTTTAGAGAAGCCAAACTGATTTTGATGCAATGTTCTATGCTTGATCCTATTAATCATTAGACCATCTAACACTTTTCCCAGAGTTGGAATAAGGCAGATTTCGCCTGTATTTTTTGTAAATCAAAATTGGCAGGGTTATTATCTCCACATACTGTATGTAGCCATCAGCAAAGAATACAATGAATAAAAATACATGAATTGTGTGAGATCCACCATCCAGTCCAAAAAGCCCCATATACAATATTGTTAAGCCGACTAACAGTTCTTTGCATCCCCACAGCATCAACTGACTGCAAACAGTTAACAAGATGTCATGCAGGTCAAAAAAATTGGGAAGGTTGTGTTTGGGACACAATCATAATCATTTAACATGTGAATCTGTCTGTGTTATTAGAGGAAGGATTATATGTAAATGACTAAAGTCTTTTTTGGTTATCACATTCCAAGTCAATATCCATTGATTCAGGTGGTGGTACACTCATAATATTCTCATCAGAGTTGGCACGCTCAGTTTTCTTATGCTCTTTATACAATCTGCATCACTTGGCATTAGTCATTTTAAGCTTTTCTGATTCCTTTTAAATTTTTTTGTCCAATGATATATGTTTCTTACATTTCTGTTCATATTTGCTTTGCAATCTCTTTGACATTATAAAAATTATCTTCAACTCACACACTTACTGGCTTATAACTTTACAAATTCTATTTTATTACCTATTATTGCTAAATGTTGTAGATCCTGTCATTCTGTACAGATCAACACTAATTTCAGTGTCCTATTGCTTCACAATCCAAAGTTATATGCTACCCAAATGCTGTTGCTATTTTCAGCTTTAACATGCAACTGCAAAACCCCTCACAGCTGCATACCCCCACTACACACCATTTTAAATACGAACATAAACTCTCTATCCAACAAAATTTTAATCATTAGATTATCATTTATACTTTACGAGATATAAGTGTAACAAATCTTGCCATTCTTCTGGTTGCTCCAGTTTTCATAGAACCCTATACTGAACCAAATTTAAAGATGTATTCAGGTCAAAAATGAGCAAGAGTGACACAGATTCCACAGTAGTTGCAGATTCACTGACTTTCCCTGCTAATAATCTTATTCCCTGACCTTTCCTGATTTTCCCTGACTTTGCAGGTCTGTACAGACCCTGCTTGTGTCCTAATTGAATATCACATATCTTTCTCATTATGAAACAGCTAGTACATGGTTTGGTTGGTTTCTTCTGTAAATGAATCTAGCATTCTTCATTCTAGCAATAAATTTATACAAGGATTGAAAATAGGATTGAAGGCAATTGTGGATGTTTGCATAGTTTTTTTTGTTTTAATATTTGTTTTGAAGTGTTTGTTTGGGTGTTTTGGATGTATATATGGTGATAAAACGATTGATGGAACGTTAAGGCACCCACAGAATCTTGTTACTTGTCAAATCTTTTTAACAAAAAGCAAACTGCGGACCTAATAAAATCATAGAAAATTCAGTACATTAAAAGAAAATTACAAACCTAGCTTGTATAAAACAGCCTTTTCCAGTTATTGGAATATTACTAGGTGGTTCTATTGTCATGAAAAGAACATCTGGGACTTTGGCTCTTCTGTAACAAACAATAAAATCAAAAACATTTTTATTAATATATCTATAAAATTATATTCACTATAATCCAAAAAATAATTTACTCAACATATATATTTAAAGTTCAAATAGTTTCACATATTTTTATGAATAACTGAGAATTCTTGAAAAACAAAACATTCCAAAAAATAACACAAAAAAATATAGTACATGCTCAATAATTGAAATTTGTGCTAATACAAACAAATTGTTAGTCTTCTTTAATTGTTTTTATCAATTTTTATAACAAATTTTATATAAATTTAAGTCATGCTTAATTATGTGAGTCCTGGACAGAGTCCAAATCTCTATTTAAATGCACAAAAATTCCTTTTTTTTTCTATTATAGTCAACTAAGACCTATCTTATTAATAGGACATTTACACTAATGTGATAGTTATTTGCAATAAGTATTAGTTCTTAATCAGAAAGTACAAAATCTTTATTTTTCACCTGTTGTTCCTGTTCTAGTCACCAGAAATTTGGCTGCTAATAGTTAAAAAATTTTGATTAATTTAACTATTAGCAGCCAAATTTCTAGTGAATAAAACAGGTGAAAAATAAAGATTTTGTTCTTTCTGATTAAGAACTCATACTTATTGCAAATAACTATCACACCAGTGTAAATGTCCTATTAATAAGATAGGTCTTAGTTGACTATAATAGAAAAAAACCACGAGATAAGGACGTAAAGGAAACTAAATTAGCACAAAAATTCCATTCACTTAAATATTTTGTTGTTAATAAAATACAGTAGACACCCATATAATATGCTCCCTTATAATGTCAATTTGTATAACACGACAAAAATTTTGTAACTAGAACTCATACAGTGCAATAAACAGTCCCGTATAACGCGTAAGATAAATTTGACATTTTCACATAGTTTCAGACTTTTTGTTTATAAAAGTGAAAATATACTCTTACTAGTTGTTTATACAGTAGAGCATCGATTATCCGAATGTCAATCAACTGAAACGTCAATTAACCGAAAGCTTTCCAGTTGGCAAATTTAAATTTCCGCTAGTGCTGCGGCACTGCAATCTTTGGCTATGTCTTGGGCTACTCCAATATTATTTTTGTTGGTGTGCGTGTTTTAGCTGGCAGCATTGGTGCGAACATAAAGGGTACTTAAAAATGTGCCAGGATTTGAACAAATTCCAACATGGGATAGGTTAATATATTTTTTCGTATATAATCAGTTATCCAAAAAATCAATTTTCTGAACAACCCCAGTCCCAATTGATTTGAATAATCAATGCTCTACTGTATATGAACAGTGAAGCCAACAGTTTAAAAAAAAAAATCATCCAAGAAACAAAGCATTGATAAATATATATATATTGATTGATTTAACGATCGATTTATGTATATATATAAATCATACAAATTAGAATGCATTGATTGATTGTATGATTTATGTATATATATAAATCATACAAATTAGAATGCATTGATTGATTGATTGAACGATAGATATCAATTCTGATATCTATCGTTCTGATACACCCTGTATATAAAAAAAATAATATGTAATACATATACACATTTGAAGATATAAGAGAAAAATAATTTTATTTAACTTTTAATTTAAATTAAATTATTTGGCATTTATTCACTATCAGAAGTATCAACAAATAAGTTACAATTGTTGTAACTTATTTGTTGGTCCGATAATGTATGTCCCCTTTAACATGATCTCCCACAACGCAGAACATATTCCCCAGAAAGTTACCAGAAATAAGAATACACAGATAGTTTACAAGTGTAATCCCACCGTATACAGGATTTTAAGGAACGATAAAGGCAGTTACAAACGCAACACGATGGCAGGAGTATACTCTATACCGTTAAAAGACCGTAGATTTAACTCTAATCTGGTATACATAGGAGCAACCATGAGAAACTTAAAGAAAAGAATTGATGAACATAAGCACTCAGTGAATAAAAACATAGACTCTACAGTACTTGCTGCCTTTGCCAAGCAGCAGAATATCGAGGTCTTTTGGGATCAGGCGTCGATCATCAAGGCTACAAGATCCAGGCAGGCCGTGAAACATCTGGAAAAAGTAGAAATTCACAAGGCGCAGTTGCACAAAAACTGCATTAATCATAGGGATGCTGACGGATTGTCATCTGCATGGAAATCCTTCTATGATGAGTTGACGTAGTTTATGTAGGTGGGAAGGTTAATTAAGATCACTTTTACTGGATGTATATATTTTATTTTATTTCTTTATTTCGTTTTAAGTATCTTGTATAATTTTTGCAATTATTTAAGCTTGGTAAATGTTAACGTATATTTATGTAACCGCTTTTTGAATTTTGTTTTACATAATTTCAAATTGTTTGTTCGAATCAGAATGATAACTGAGGATGATCACTTAAAGCATTCAAAAGCGTTTTTAAGATATTAAATAACGATTTGCTGGATTGTTTAAAGGTTTTGATTTTTATTTATAGTGTAGTTTCCAGTACGAAAGTATTTTATTTCCCCTCATTGTAGGAGTTTACTGTAGTGAATTTTGGATTGTGTCCTCCAAATTCTGGATTTGTGGTCCATCAAAAAGAACACTCATTTACCTCAGATTAAATCCATTTATTTTACACTATTTACAGTATATACAGCACTACTTCTTGACTGCCACTAATGACATAGTCTTAAGCCTTGCTTGATTCTTCCCCTTCAAACATGTTGCCTTATATATCATTTTTATATCTGTTGGCCGACCAATCCAGAGCTGGGTTGGTAGCTTTCTTTAAGGTTTGCCTCAGTTATCATACTTGTCTCAATTTGTTCAGGATGACTCATGCTAACCAATCCCCTATGGAAAATGGGTTCCGATGAACAGAAAGCTGCATCACTTTGTCCCTACTCATTAGGCCTCCTTGACAAAAATATTTAAGTGAATTTAATTTTTGTGCATCCATTTTACACATTTTGTTGTTAACAAAATGTGTAAAATAGATATGTCAAGATTGTATGAAATAAACAGTATGCTCGACCCCATAAGGTCAAGAGTTGGAGTGTTTAGAATGTCACTTCAAAAACATTGAGCTTTGATTCTGATGCTTGTAGATGTCACAAAATTTGAAAATAAAGCAGGAAATGTAGCATTCCATTGAAAGAAAAGCTATCACATTGTAACTTTTATAAAGTCTGAAAAGAAAATATCATTGCTTGAGATATAAGCAAAGTTCAATCAACACTTGTGGATCAAATCAAACAAAAGTGTCAAATTGATTAACAGAGTTGATATCTTCCCACACCCAATCTGGTCATCTAATTTCACCCAGAAACAGAAACAAGGCCAATTAGAAGGTGGAGAGAGAGAAAATCAGAACCAATCAAATTAAGAATTTCAGGGATAAATCCTTTAGTTGTTGCATCTCTCTAGCTTAACCTATTTGTATATAAAAATGACCCATTTCAGTGTCGACAACCACATCACGCTTGCACCCCTTGTTCGTCTTGACAAAAAGAAGGATTAATCCCCCCTTTTGCCCTATCAGAAATCTCACAAATTGTTTTTGTAAGTTACGTAACATTATATAAAATAGTAATCATTATCATCATTTATTTCACATTGAAAATGTAAAATAGGAAAATGATACAATCTTTACAAGTCTCTGGTGAGCCATGTTGGCCATCATTTTCCTTCATATACCTCAGTTTGGGCTGCATCATAAATGAATTGTGGTGATACATTATTGATGTTTGTGATTTGGTTGGCATATTGCTAGACTTGGATGTACTGGTACTGTACCTCTCTTCCTGTACACATTGGTCAGACAGAAGAGACTTGGCTATCAAAATCAAGACTAAGTGGATGATGATGACGACCCATCAATTTGACTTAAAATCATATACTTTGTTTATTAGAAGTAATGTTTAGTTTTCATCTAAAATTTCACTGTTATATTTATGGTCTTTCCATATGTAGCCAAGCTTAATCAAGTTATTTTAAAACTGTTGATAAGGTTGATATACTTTTTGATGCCTAGAATCCTGGTTTAGGATGCATGAAGAAATATGGCTTTACTGGTATTGTAGAAAAATTGGATTTTGTTGATAAAGTCAAAATTCTATATTTTGCTCAGGTTAAATGAACAACACCATAAACTGGATTAACTGGTTAAATGACACTCTAAAAATGCCTTCCTATTACTCAGGAATGATAAGAATTGCACTGAAAAGAGGAGACTACCTAGGATCTACTCAATTCCTTTACATGATTACAGGGTGAATCATTGCTTCAAATGTTGGAGTGACATATAGATCTTTGAGCACTAGAATCAAGGAACATCAGGACATAACTAGAAAACTCCTATGTAAAATTGCCTTGGAGGTCTTTGCCCATGACTGTGATGTTAATCATTCTTTTAATAGAGTGTATATACGAGGTCTGTTCAAAAAGTATCGAACCTTTGGTTGGCAAAAATAAATTTATTGAGTTTGAGGTACAAAACCCTAATCCCCTTCAAAGTAGTCTTCTTGGTAGTGTATACAAGGTCTGTTCAAAAAGTATCAGACCTTATTTTTTTCCGCGTAAACCAATGATGCGAGAGAGGCCTCCTTCGGTGGAGTTGTGGAGGGGACAGTCATGCACAGCCCTGAATTTTTTCCCGCCTGCAGGAAGCGTCAGTCGTTGGCAATCGGCGTATGAGTGAGGTCATGTAGTGCGCTCTCGTCGGATTTCACTAAGCTGGAAAATGACTGAACAACGTGAGCAGCGATATTACATCAAATTTTGCCAAAAACCTTGGCGATACCCGAGTGTAAACCATTCGCAAGATTCAGCAGGCTTTCGGGGACGATCCTCGAGGCCAAAAAAAGCGCGGCAGGTCCGCAGCAATATCAAAGGTCATGTTGACAGTTTTTTCGACTCTCGTGGGGTGGTGTGTCGTGAGTACGCACCACAAGGCCAAACCATCGCAAAGGAGTACTACCAGGAGGTCCTTCGTCGTCTTTCCGATACAGTGCGACGCAAACGACCGGATCTGTGGTCGATCAAAACTTGGCAGCTCCATCGTGATAACGCATCCGCCCATTCTGCGCATCTGATTCGGGCTTTCGTCGCCAAACACAATACTCCTGTGGTTCGTCACGCTCCGTACTCTCCCCACATGGCTCCGTGTGACCTTTGGCTATTTCCCAAGCTGAAAATGCCGCTAAAAGGAACCCGAATTTAGTCGAGAGAAGACATCGTGCGGAATGCGACGGACCGGCTGATGGCCATTCCAAAAGATGCGTTCCAGCAGTGTTTCCAGCAATGGCAGGAACGCTGGGAGAAGTGTATACATTACCAAGGAGACTACTTTGAAGGGGATTAGGGTTTTGTACCTCAAAGTCAATAAATTTATTTTTGCCGACCAAAGGTCCGATACTTTTTGAACAGACCTTGTACACTTAACCCAGTGTTCCTGCCATTGCTGGAAACACTGCTGGAACGCATCTTTTGGAATGGCCATCAACCGGTTTGTCGCATTCCGCATGATGTCTTCTCTCGACTAAAATTGGGTTCCTTTTAGCGGCATTTTCAGCTTGGGAAATAGCCAAAAGTCACACGGAGCCATGTGGGGAGAGTACAGAGCGTGACGAACCACAGGAGTGTTGTGTTTGGTGACGAAAGCCCAAATCAGATGTGCAGAATGGGCAGATGCATTATCACAATGGAGTTGCCAAGTTTTGATTGACCACAGATCCAGTCGTTTGCATTGCACAGCTTTGGAAAGACAACCAAAGACCTCCTGGTAGTACTCCTTTGCGATGGTTTGGCCTCGTGGTGCATACTCACGACACACCACCCCACGTGAGTCGAAAAAACTGTCAACATGACCTTGATATTGCTGCGGGCCTGCCACGCTTTTTTTGGCTTCGAGGATCGTCCCCGAAAGCCTGCTGAATCTTGCGAATGGTTTACGCTCGAATATCGCCAAGGTTTTTGGCAAAATTTGATGTAATATCGCTGCTCACATTGTTCAGTCATTTTCCAACTTAGTGGAATCCGACGAGAGCTCACTACATGACCTCACTCATAGGCCGACTGCCGACTGACGCTTCCTGCAAGCGGGAAAAAATTCAGGGCTGTGCATGGCTGTCCCCTCCACAACTCCGCCGAAAGAGGCCTCCCGCGCATCATTGGTTTACGCAAAAAAAATAAAAGTCCAATACTTTTTGAACAGACCTCGTATTACATTGCGCCTCAGTGCAAAATAACTTATATATTTGGAAAGTCTGGAAATTTATATAGCTATCAAGAAAAGGACTGCAATTAACTTCAAACATTCTGCAGTGGTGTCACATGCTTAGAGGACATTATTTCAAGTTTTATAGTATTCATCACCTTTTGCTTTTGTTCATGATATTTGTATATTTCACTGTATTTATTTATTTTTTATTTTGTATTTAATACTTTCCATGCTAATTTTTAATCTTATTTTCTATATTTTATTTATTATATTTATGTTCCTATGCTTGTAACTGGCTACTTAAATTTACATTTTTCAAGTGCTTATAATTTCAAATTTGCTTTCTGTTTCAGTGTAGAATCTGAAGATGGCGATAATACATAATAAAAAAATTCATTTCATTAATAAACTTTCTATTTTTTACTGGATTGAAGATTTTTGAAGTTAAGTTTTGTTCAGGTTTTTGTGGTGTCAAAGGGCTATCTGCTTTCTATGGATTATTATACCTTCTATTGTTTTGGATCTTAAATCATCAATACAATAGAAAGATGATTCATGTATTATCAGTTGAGCATCACAGAAAATAATCACTTGATATTTTGTCATTTTGAAAAATGCTTAATTTTAATGAAAAATTTGCTTTAAGACAACAATATTGCATATAACTGTGTCAACTTTGTTCTATATACTTTCAACCAAATGGCACCATTTATCAGTTTATATGTAATTTTTCCAGGCAGGAAGTTTATTTCTATTCAGGGTGTTGTCTTGAATGTTTATTCATTATTTATTTATTTATTTATTATTTACTTTAGTTTTGTTACAATTTTCAGGGGTTGAGCAGCATAGCGCCAAAATCACCACTTGGCGATATTTTTATGCAAGTGGTGATAAAAATATAATACTGGCAATTGCAAGTGCAATAAAAACTCTAGTCCGCTTGTTTCAGCATAAAATTGAATCACAAATCACACTTCGAAAAAACAGCAAAATATCAAGTTTCCTTACAATGGAAGTCCTGTGCACCACACACTTAGGGTACTTATAATTTTTTAATCAAACTGATCCAAAATTACTCTGATCATTAAAATCCTGTATACAAATGAACTAAAGCATTCTGATCAATCTCTATCCATATATACAAATGCCATCTAGGATTAACTAAATTGCAATCAAACTAATCCGTGCAGAGATTGTTCAAATTAAATAAAAAAAATTAAAGATGGTGACCGCCACATTTAAAGTCAAGCTTATAGCTATATAGTTGATGGCAAAGAAATATGTTTAACTGTCAACAATGAAAAGTACTATACTTAAAACTTATAAATGGTAAATAAAAACATTATTATTAAAATATCCAATAAATTAAGATGAAAAAATAAGTATTTAAAAAAAATTTTGTGAGATTATATGGCAAGAATGCATGACGTATATTCTCCCATTTTGCTGTTTTGTGAGCAGATTTATTCACAGTGTAAATACAATTCAACCCCACTTGTATACTTTCTGCCAACTAAAACACATGACAGAAGCGATCCATATCATGTGACAAAGACTGATTCAATCTCACAGATCAATCCATCTGAAATGAAAAGTATAATCTCCCCTAGCAATTTCATGATGTCACATGGCAAGTTTGGGCAGAAAAGAAGAAAGTGACATTAAGAATCAAAGGCAGTTTTTTGCAATGCTTTCCAGCATTTCCAAATTGGGGATTTTTTATTGACTGACAAATGGACGTCAGGAAATGACATCACAATTTTTAATCTCTTGTTTTATAAGCTTTAAATGAGAGGAATAATAATTCTAATGATATGGTAAAATAATAAAATAATAATGTTACACATAAAAAACAAAATAAAATAAAATGCCAAAGGTTTGAACTTACATTGTCTCATTTACTCAGTTATTGCAACTCTGGAACATAAAACTTCCAAAAACTTATAATCTAAACACTAAATTTTTAGAGGCCCAATTTTTGCAAACACTTAAAAAGTGGGTTCTATTACTTGGATAAAGAGCTGTTTGTGTTTAAGGCTACATGTTCACCATGTTTCATTCAAATTGGAGATCCAAACATGTGATCCTCTCCTCAAAGTGACAGCTTAACGCATTACTTTTGCTTTCCACATGCCAAATTGATACAGCTACCAGCACCAGCATTAATAAGTAAGGAAAACTGGTGACAAAAAATAATTGGAAGTGGCAAAAAAATTTAAACTGATGAAATGGTGGTGATATTTTAAAATTCTCCAAAGCAATCCCCAAATTTTATTTATTTTCATTTTTTTGCAAAGAAAAGAAACACGTGCCGTGATTGATTTTCTTTGTATAGACTTTTTTCTTTTTATTTTTTTACTTATAGATTTTTGTAGTATATAACATATTTTTTGTCTGTCTATGATGAAAATTAAATTTTTTGCAAATTTTTATCACCATATATCTAAGTTTAGCAAAGAGGTGTGAAACAGGTATATGTAAACTGCTTGATATAAAGTGGAATATTTCGGGAACAAATAGGTCAATATTTATAAATGTTATGTCAAAATGTAGAGAACAATATTCTCCTTGGTGCTGGCATGGTGCAAAAAATAAAATATGTAATTGGAAAATTTTATCTGTTACCAAAGTGATGTAATTTTTCATTATAAATTTAAGTGATTATATATTATTTTTTGTAAGTAATTTTTTTATAATTCATTAAAATAAACTACACTGTTGAAAACTAAATAATGTAATGAATATAAATAATTTTTCTCTTATGTGTATGATAAAAATTGGATTTTTGGCAAATTTTTAAAATGATACAAATAAAGTGACTTTGAGTGACTAAAGTTTGCCATGAACGTTTTAAGAACTAACAGTATCACTGATGGCAGTATATACATTAAAGTTTTTAACTTCTAGCTGTTTCATTTGTTCATACATAATATTTCCTTGTATGTTAAATTTGATAATTTTCATTCTTTGAGTCCAAATAAGAATGTTATACTACATAGTTTGTCAAAATTTTCTTCTTTATTTATTGCAAAATCTCTATCTGACAAAACATGTTAGGACCAATCACACAATATATGGATATGATGAGAGTACAAAGAGAAATAAAAATACCAAAAGTATAAGCTCTACAACCTACCATAGTACAATAGATATAAACAATGAAAATCATTCATTAGACATATTGGAAGGACAAGAAAACATTAAAATTCAAAAAATTATAAAGAACACCATTTCACAACCAGATAATCCTGACAAAGATAAAAATCAAGAAAAGAGATTCAAGTAAACTCAATTAAACAAAGATATGCATCAGTCAGTTATAATACTTCAATCCAGTGGAATTCTTAAAAATGATACATGTTTACCAAATAAATATTTCATTTTTAAATATTTACCATTCATAACAACATTTTTCTTTCTAAAAACTATTTAATATATATTTGTGAATTAATTATATGACAATGAAAAAATTTCCGAGCAGGATTAACACAATGTTACAATAATTAAACATTACCTGCATATGTGGCATCGTACGAGATTAACGGGAAAAGGGACGCTGGATTCGGAGTATGGAATGTGACACAAACCACAGTTTGGATATACCGATAAATCTTCAGTCCTACAAACAAAAAAATTTTACAATTATATAACAACAACTGCATAACTTATATTTCCAAAAATTGCCATTTAAAGGAAACTATAGCTAATATTAAAAACAAATATCTAAAGAAAATTTTTAAATGTTTTGTGCCATTTTGTTATAACTTTATGCTTCTGTGAGGGCCCGGATTTAAGATTCGAATATTTTTATTCATTAGATTTAAAGTTAGGGTTAACACAAAAAGGGAAAAACAACCGACAAATTTTCTCATAAAAATCGCTCATAAAAACTCCGTTCCCACGACAATACTTCCCTGTAGAGGATGAGTTAACTGTTGTGTCATAAGTTTGTCACTTCGCCCACCATTGGTCAACGAAGATCATCACCTGTGACGTACATGGGGAAATCTCGAAAAAAGAGCCCCC